TAGGTTAGAATTAGGTGGTATGTATGTAAATGCCCCCTTTTTTTTATGGTTCCATACCAAAGCGAGCCATAGAAAGCTAATAATTAATATATCTCATACTTCGATGGAGAGTTTGTGACATCATGTAGTAAAATATTTACTGAAATGCACTTCCAACCATCCAATAAGCATTTTTATATCAAAAGTCATAAAAATATAATGCCAGCTATGATCTTGCAGACCACGTCATCAAATATAGATGATACGTAGAATATTTTAGCTACAATTATGAGAGATTTCTCAATATTTAGAGACAAATCATGCCCATATTTTTAGCCTCGTGGCTGGAAAACGAGAACCAATGGCATAAATTAATAGCACAGAACAGTAAATAAGAAAATATCTACACATAATTAGTCTCCAGTAAAAACAAAATAATAAATGCATATCAATCTGGTCATAATCAATTATATCATGATTTTAATTATAAGAACCATCAAATACTTGGAAAACATGCAATGGATTACAACATTACCTGTAACATTACCAAAAAGAAAAAAAAATCAAATTATTAATTTCATGTTTTACATCTCATTCATGAGTGGATTCGTCTCTTTTCTTTAATTAATTATAACAAGTCGGGAGAGTCAGATCTGTTGAATCATAATGAGTAAATAAAAATATAATTGCACTATGATAACACCTACAAAATGAGAACTATATGCTCCTTTTCACTTTTTTTTTTTTTAATTTTCATTCATTAAAATAAAGTTTAAGCATTTTTTTTCATGGAAGAATCACATAACATTATGATGCACATAAATGAGAATCAAAACTTAAGAACGATGAGATGAAATAAAACACTAAAAGTTGACTAGTGTTTAAATTTAAAATTCACAAGTGATGTATGCCTCTTACCACCCCCAATTCCACCATTATCTGAAAGCTAGTTGTAATTAAGGGTGTGTTTGGGGCAACTGGAGCTTATTGATCAATCTGTTGATAAACAGATTATCCTCACAATATGCTATTCTACAAATTATTCAGATAAATTGGTTGTCTGTTTGGAGGCTCCGCTTAAAAACAACTAATTTGCAGTTGTTTCTGAATAAATGATCATTTTGTCACTGTTAAGTAATATTGTGTGTTGGAGTATATGCAACATAATCACTACTACAGAAGCAGAAAACCAATTCATAACAGTTTAAAAAAATAAGATACAATTCTCACTTAAGAGTGAGTATCAAAACCGATAAAATAAAGAGAAAAAAAATTACAATTAAAATTAAAATTATTAAACCCCGACGACGAATGTCATGAGCTGCACTGTCCTCCAGGGAAACCATCCTAACCTGATCACTGTCAGCAGTGCGATATGCCGGAATATCCGCCCATCTGAAGAAGTCGTGCCTCTCAGAGACGCTTCTGAAGCAACCGTAAAACTTTCTCACGTATTTGTGTTTGACGTAACGTAAGAAAGTCTGTAGTCCGCAGTAACACAACACATTTCTCGGGAGGTTCATGAAATCTTGGAGCTCATGTTTCTACAAGGACAAAGCCTGTAATCTCCCGTAGTTGGAGCTCATGTTTCTACAAGGATAAAGCAGAAAACTCATTAGCCAGATCATTAGTTCATCCCAATATAAGCTTGAAACATTATTCATAACTCAACTAAATGGGCTCAACTTGTTGCATAATCCTCCATCTAATTCATATCTCAACTAAATGACTTCTACAAGCCAACATAGGAATTCTAACATGAAAAAAATGCCACGGAAAAAATTTCACATAAAAAAAAAACAACATGGTAGTAGGCTTTCCATTTGTTTTTCCATGGCTTCTACAAGTCGAATTTCTCAAAGATCCTAATTGCCGCAAAAATGATGAAGCAAAATTACCAAAAGAATGTCACAGAAAAAATCGACATTCCAACATGAAAAAACGAAAAAACATCTCAAAATCAATTGAATGTCATTCATACGCAATGCTTCACATCTTAAGCATCATACTATGCATAGAAAACTTTCCATCATAAATCAGAAGAGCCATTCATATGCAATGCTTTACAGTCATTCATATGCAATGCTCCATTGTTATACATCGTAAGAAAAGCGATGTAAAAACTTACAGAGCACAACAATGTAAGATCGCAGAGGAGAGGAGGGAGAGAAAGTCAATAGATGAGTGAGAGAGGTGCAATGAGGTCGGGGAAGAGGATCGAAGTTACCTAAGGCACAAGATGGGTGAGGGCGACGGCGCGGGTAGGTAAGTAAAAAAGAGATCGAAACGCTGGCCTGCGGTGATGAGGGTGCGGGCCGCGGCATGTTATAGCGCAACTGCGCGTTTGGCGGGACACGCTCAAAACACACAAACCAAACACTGCGGGTAGGTAAGTAAAAAAGAGATCGAAACGCTGGTCTGCGGTGATGAGGGTGCAGGCCAAACGCTGGCCTGCATGTTATAGCGCAACTGCGCGTTTGGCAGGACACGCTCAAAACGCACAAACCAAACACCCTTGCCGTGTTTTCAAAAAGCAGAAGTTGTTCATAAACCGCCCCAAACGCACCCTAAGTCGAGTCGACTCGATATGCTTGGGATTGAACTTGGCTTGATTGAATCATAAGTTGTTCATGTTCAGTTAGAACTTGAGCCGAACTTTCACAGACATGTCCATGTTTGGCTTGCTTAATTATTTTTTTATTAATCATACTTGATTGATAATTGCCTTGTTAATATTAATTAAAGAAGTTAAAAATTTAATTAAATACCTAACTTTTTATATTAAATTTGATTTTTCATGTAAAGCTTGCAAACAAGCTAAATTCTGAATGAGCACTTGAGTTTTTGTTATAAAATTATTAAAAATTGATTTTATAAATTTAAATAAATAGACAAATCTCGTACTTTAGGACTGTTGAAGAGCAGCAGAATAATATTTTTTTTTTTGAAAAAAAAAATCATATAAACATTCAGGAGGGTAGTTTATTAACACACCTCGTAATTTAGCTAAAAAACTCAGCCTATCAGCCTCGGGAAGGCCCACAACTTAGGGAGCCATTTAGGAGCAGGAGATCCATCAGAATCACTCTCATCACTATCAGAGAATGAGAAAGCCAATTTATGTCTGCTACTCTCGCAATCGTCCAGTAGATAATCTACAAGCTGATGATAACAGGCAATAACAACAGATTAGAAAAAACAAAAATATAAATGTCTAAGCAAAATAATGAAATCCAAAACTAAAATTGTGAATCCTTGAAAATAGAATAGCTGCTGGCATCAAAGATACAATCGCCTGTGAACGGCCTAATATTTTTTAGGGGCATCTACTTACAAAACAACCAATTCCCCTATGCATTTACATATCCAACACTATAGTTTTTACATTTATACCAACTAAATCGTTTCATGCACAGGTGAGATAGCATATATGTAAAAATTAAAATTTATATGTGAATAAGCATGCTTGTATGTACACACAAGTACATGTGTACATATGTGAGTGTGTATGTATGTACATCAATCACTGCCATTAATATTTTCATCTCTACCGTTGGAAGTATCTTCGCTATGGCATTTCCATAACTCACTATATATTGATTACTAACGCCAACAAAGAACCTCTCCTCACAGAGTCTCAAAGTTAACCAACTTAATTTCCACCTTGGAACCATCAAAGTAAGGAGAACTCTAACACTATATAGACGCGATCGAAGGGGTAAAATGTGATGAGAATGAAACAGGAACTAAAATATCATCTCACTAGTTGAAGGCAAGTCCAAGTTGAGCTGATTATTTTATTAGAACTAAAAAAAATGCATTTGCATGGGAACTTTCAGATATGCAGGGCGTGTAGATCTCAATTATGAACCAAAATGCATAATCAAATTATAATAAAGGTAACCATTGGAACGAAGTCTATTCAGGTGGTCCGATGCACAAATTAGATATCCAATGTGAAATGGTGATGAAATCCATTACATTAGATTTTAGAACCGGCATTTTATTAAAATCACATTTTTTACTCTTTAGGGAGACTCCGTTACTTCATCCCGGTTACGAACAACGCCGGCATTTTACTGTTTTTATGGGAAAAAATTTGTGTGCGTAAGACGTACGCAACGCTGCATGCATAATGGATGTTATATGGGTGTTATATCGACATTATATTCGCGTTATATCCCTTGTAACCTCCATATAACTTTTTCATGTAACCTACAATCATGCAACCTACAAATATGTGAAAACAGAAGCGCAAAATTTATTTGTAAGTTCAGGTAGGTTACAGGTGGGTTATATAAAGGTTACAAGGGATATAACGCGAATATAATGTTGATATAACCTTCATTATGTACGCAGCACTGCGTACGCCTTACGTATGCAAAATTTTTCCATTTTTACGACCACGAACATTGGATTGCGTCCCCCGATTCGTGAATAAATAGCGAAGGAAAGCGGGGGTAGCGACCATATCTACCGGTAGTCACCTAGCCTATTGTGAGGAGGAAAAAGTGTTGGATTTACATAATTTTGGTTTATATCATGCCCTAGCTTTTCTTTTGGTGTTCAATTCGTTGGTGAGGAGAAGAATTGTCATTTTGTCTTCTTGAAATTTTATTTTTTTTTCAGTTAATATCATCGGATCTAGGGGGGTGATTGCACATGGTTGAGAATTTGCATTTATAGACCAAACGATTCTTCTTTATTTTCAGATCTAACACACCAAAATATGTTTTTTTTTTTTAATTTTTATGTCATGCATTTACCTGAGTTTAATGCTTTGACCATTAAATAGAATGATATATAACAATGAAAGCACTGTTTTTGGATGGGTTCCAGAACAGACATATCATTTTGAAAACCCTTCACAATTACATCTATCATTATCATTCACAATTTGATGTTGACTTCAAATGAATCGGTACCACCTGAAGCATATGAATATCAATGGGTTGAATCATTGCGGACAAAGAAGTAGTCAGTCAAACCGTAGGATGATAGTGAAGGTGTCAAAGAGATGGCAGACTTATGTGAAGTAATCACAAATGTTTTAGTTAACGCTGGATATTTTATGTTGTAATTCAATAATGTTGTACGAAATGTTTTGTTATTTTTAATTGACTGTCGTTATAATGTAATACACAAAACAATGTGTACCCATGCCTTCAGAATTTCAGTGCCTTTGTCTTTCTAAGTTTTTTTTTCTGACAGAATTTCAGTGCCTTTGTCTTTCTAAGTTTTTTTTTTTCTGACATTTTTAGGAAAATATTTTAAAGTGGCCATTACTCTTTTTCTAAAGTTGAATATGGAACCTTGGGTGGTAGATATTTAAATGCATAAGACTAGTGCGGTTTTGGTTCGGATAAGAACTGTACAAATGCATAAGAATTGTGTGGCAAGCTCTGGCATAGTGATGTTGCAGCATTTCAGTGGGTTTGGTTCTTCTTTATATAAAGTTAACCGATTTAGGATGCAGGATCACTTGAGAAAGAAGGAATGCTGCATCAGGAACTGTAAATGCATAATAATTGTGTGATTTTGGTTCATATAAGAACTGTGTAAATGCATAAGTATTGTGTGGCAAGTTTTGGCATAGTGATGTGGTGGCATTTCCAAGCTTTTGTATATACTTATTTTTCAATGGTAATGGTGCAGCAAGCTTTTGCATTTACATATTTTTCAATGGTTACGTTGCGGCACAATTCATTGTTTTTAAAGGTGATGGATAAATTGGGATATTTCTTCCTTATATTAGTGAAGGCTTTAACTTTTTGGTGGATGCGGCATTTCCCAAGTTCCACTGGAGTGGGTAGGAATGCCGGTATATATATCCATATGAATGGTGATGTTGCAGCGATGTCTACTTTGTAGTCAGGCTTCAATTGTCGCATCCCATGCCATATGCTTGGTCTTGAGGCACTGTACACATAATTTGCCGGCTTGTTAAACTATGCTTTACGTATCTATACCACACAATCTCTATGTATATACATATTGATGCACCTGTAGCTAAAAAAAATGAAGTTTGGTACTTGATATCTAATTTCATAAGAATTAGATATCATGGAGCAGTTAGAAATTTTTTTGGATTTAGATATCTGATTACATTACAATTAGATATCATTTGTGCATTGCTGGTGGTAAATCTTGTTGTTGAATTCAGCTATCCAAAAGTAGATGTACTTATTTTGATAAATTGATAGATAGATTGATATCTTCTTTCCAACGGCAATAATGCGGCATTTTTTAACGGCCAAGTTATTTATAGGCAACCAGTGCTGCCATTGCAAATGTGGTTTATGGATACCAATCCGCGGATTCTCAATTCAATGTAATATATGAGGTTATCTTGTCTATTTTTTGGCATTTGGAAATGACCTGCTTTAAAGAGATATTGACATTTGATCCACTATAATGGTCATTTCTTCCTACTTGCATTTTCTTGCTGTGAGGTTTTCTTGTAATTTGGGACAAAGAACACTACAGTTTTATACAAGAGACAAAGATGCTTCACTCTCAAATGGAGAAAGATGTATTTTAATGATGTTGTGAAGTAGAATTTAACAGAGGAGCCCTATGTTTTGCTTGAGTTAAGCTAAACTACAGGAACTTTAACTGAGAACTGTATGTTATGGCTGATTTTCATTTTACAAGGCACTAGATTCTTATGCATTTAAATATTAAAATCGGGACTTTAATTGAGAATTGTACGCTGCGTGTGCCTCTTTGTAGTTCGGTACCTATTCTGAATTGGCTTTGGCTACTTGCGCCTCTTTTATAGTTTGATGAGTCATTTGACCCAATGGATTATTTTCGATGGCCTTTTTAATATGCATTTGTACATGCATAAATATAGTCTGTAAGTGTTTCTGGCAACTAAGGTTCCCCTGCATTATGGGTCAACTGCTTTTTTCTGATGAAAGATTATTCATTTCCATGTGTTTACTCTGAATCTTGAGATTTTCTTGTTATAAACTTCCACTATACTCTACGGTTTGAATCTGTTATTATACTTATCAAATTATTTTCTTGAATATGCTGGCAATTGAGGTTTTAGCTTGTAATCCCTTTTGATTTTGAATAGTTTTATGAGCCAGGGCACTCAAATTATCTTTTCATTCAAGTATGAGGGGCTATATTTAGACTGTTACATCTATTGTAACTTTTCATTTCTTAATTTTAATGCTGTGAGGAATGTTGAAAAGGGATTACATGTGGAACTTCTTAAGTAGAATAAATTTTAACTCTCTAACATTCATGTGCCTTTTTTTGTTTGACGGATAAAAATTCATCATAATTTTTAAAGTAAAACGTCTTTGTACGAGAGCACTCTCAGAATGGGTAATCTCTTTCGAGAGGGCCATCAAGTAATCCGTTCATTTCTTCTATTTCCATATTTTTGTGCTAATCATCAATGAACAGGATTGCACTATCAAAAATGAGCTCAAGCAATTCGACAAGCGCTAAGAGGGCCAAACATCAGCATGTTTTCTATGATTGCAACCTCTTATGTGTTGTATTCACGGCAAAAAATGAGACAATGTTGGGCTAAGGTTTTATAGATGACCAAAAATCTTATGAATATAGAGTGCAAACTTTTTCAATGGCTTAATGAACCGAGAGATGCATACATGAGCAAGGTGATGAAAAGATATATTCAGTTGATGATGCGATGAAAATTGATGTCAAAGACTTGAAGTTTCTCCTGAATACACTGTTTTTGTTTGATTTTATAATTGTAGCATTGTTTTTATTGTTGTTAAAAGTGTATTTGTTTTGATGATGTTAGTGTATTTTGGGGGACAAAGTGTAATACTTTAGATTTTTTTTTAATGCAAACTCAATTTTTTGGTTGAGATGCAACTTATGTTGAACTTATGCTTGTATGGTTAATTTGTGGGTTTAAAATTATGTTATTGTTTCCTCTTGAATTCTCTTATCGAGTTGTGACTGATAATAATTTAATAAATTTTGTATTGAATTTATTCCATATGCAGCACTTTTAGAATTGTGTTTTTTAAACAGAACTATTTTTTAGCACAAAATTGTGTTGACAACGAAGGGATAACTCAATCATTTGTCAACAGGCAACACTTTTAGAACTACGTTTTTCAAACAGACCAACTGTTTCTGAAACACCGGCTTTTGAACAATAGATTTTCAACAACTTTTAAACCCAGCTTTTCTACCGTCACAGCTGAAATAATAGCACCCTAAATAGAAGACATACAAGAACTTCATCAGTTGAGCCATCGGTCCCATAATTAATTCTCTAGTGAACTCAACGGATAACTTTCAAATGCTCAATCTTCGTGCCTCCTAGTCCTAACAAATCAAAATGTATCTTAAAGATGAAAAGAAGATGATTTTAACAGTTGTCATTGTTGGGTTCTAAGCTCTGAACGTGAATAGTGGAGGGTTGGGTTAGGTAGTAGACAACTAATGTAAAATTTCATCAAAAAATCATGACATGAATCATTTAAATCTTTGTATAAATGTTAGCATATCCCTTGAAAACAATGTGTTGTATAGAAGACATACATGAACTTCATCACTTGAACATCGGTCCCATCATTAATTATCTAGTGAACTCAATGGATAACTTTCAAATGCTCAATCTTCGTGCCTCCTAGTCCTGCCAAATCAAAATGTTATCTTAAAGATGAAAAGAAGATGATTTTAACAGTTGCCAATGTTGGGTTCTAAGCTTTGAACGTGAATAGTGGAGGGTTGGGTTAGGTAGTAAACAACTAATGTAAAATTTCATAAAAAAATCATGACATGAATCATTTAAATATTTGTATAAATGTTAGGACATCCCTTGAAAACAACGTGTTTTATAACATGAATATAATGAAAAGTGTAAAAGGGTCGATGCACTGATGCCCTATTATAGTGTTAAATAACCAAGGGTTTCACACTATGGATGGATGAGGAAAAAAAAATAATCCATGAAACTAACTTTGGAATATAGATATCCTTACAAATAAACTAATTGAATTTATAGATATTACGATTCATAGAAACATAAATATCTCATGCATTCAAAGAAACAAAATGGGTTAGAAAAAAGTCTAAGCAAATTAATGGTTTTAATTTTAAACTTTAGTATTCAGGTTTGAGTCGTACTAGAAATGATATAGGTGTAATTATAAATAAGATTTTGAAATATGATTTTATAAAAAATCATAAAATTGAAGATAGAATTATAGTCTTAAAGATTGTTGTTTATACGAGAATTCTTAGTGTTAAAAATGTTTATACTACTCAAGCAGGTTTAGATATATGTTGAAAAGAAAAATTTTGAAATCACCTAGAAGAATTAATACAAATGATAACTCTTGAAGAAAAAAAAATTATTTGAGAAGATTTAAATGAGTATGTTGGTAAAGTGACATAAGATTTAAAAAAAAAAATCATGTTGGATATAGTTTTGGAGCAACTAATGAAGAAGGTAAAGTCAGATTATATTTTGTTTCAACTTATGATATTGTTATTGCTAATACTTTATTTAAGAAAATAAATATGCATATTATTACTTATAGGAATGAATCTAATAAAACACAAATAGATTATTTTCTTATGAAAAAAATAGACGCCGAGATCGTAAAGATTTCAAGTTAATTCCAAGTGAAAATTTAAGCATCCAACATCGATTATTGGTTTTGAATTTTAAAATAATTAATTGCAAATGAAAAATACAATTAAATATTATCATAAAATTAAACGAGGGAAATTAAAAGAGACAAATAAAATTATTTGTATGAGTAAACTTCAAAATGTACTTAAAGTTTGATGAATTAAGCATAGGTTAAGACGTGAAACAAATTTATGTCGTGCAAATCTACTATAGAAATTATACATTTATTGAGAAGTTTGATGAAGAAGTATGGAGAGTATAACGAAGATATACATATTATTTTTGTTGATTTAAAAATAGTTTATGATAAGATACCAAGAGAAATACTTTGAAGAGTTGTAAAAATTAATTGTGTTGATAGGACTTATATTCAAGTTATTAAAGATACGTATGCTATAATTGTTACTTATGTTCGAACAAAGTGAGAATTGACCAAAGATTACATCAAGGATCGACTTTAAGCCCATATTTCTTTTTTAGTTATGGATGTTCCTACTAGACATTTATAAGAGGATATACATTGGTATATGCTTTTTGTTAAAGATATCCTCCGGTGGATAAGACTAGAGAAAGAGTTCAAGAAAAACTTGAATTTTGGAGTTCAATTTTAGAGTTTAACGGCTTTCGTTTGAGTGATCTAAAATTGAATACATAAAATATAATTTTAATAGTAATAGATCTAGTGGTGTGGTTATAATAATGTGTGATCAAGTCAATAAAAGGAGTGAACATTTTAGATATTTTGGGTCAATTGTTCAAAGTGATTGTGATACATATGGGCATGTTTTTAGTAGAATTCACATCAGATGGTTGAAATGAAGGAATATTGTATGATAGAAAAGTACTGCTTAAACTTAAAAGAAAAATTTTATAAGATGGTGGTGAGACATGTATGCTTTAAGGTGCAAAATTTGGCCTAGAAAAAGAAGCATAAAACTATGTTAAATGTTGCTAAGACGATAATGTTTAGTTGAATAAGCGACTTTTCACTTAGAGACACAATATGACATGAATATATGCGTGAAAGGGTTCGTATAACTCTAGTGGCAGGCAATATTAGACAGAGTCGTCTTAGATGTTTTTGTCACATTAAACATCGACCATCTGATAATTATGTTAGAGGAGTAAATTTTTAGATTTGACTTTAGGTAAAAAAAGGTAGAAGTAAACCTAAAAAAACTTAAGCATGTTGTATAAAAAATGATCTTAATCTTTTAGAATTAAATGAAAACATGACACTCAATAGAACACAATGGAGAAAAAAGATTCATGTAGCCAACCCTACTTAGCGAGATAAAGACTTTGTTGATGTTGTTGTTGCAATGGCATTTAATACTACAAATTCATAGTATTCACAGTCAACAAAGTTGACACCATCCAGCATGGATTAATGGAAGATGGCTTCGGGCATTAAAAGTGAAGTAAAATCATAGGAGTGAAGTACCAGAATAGTCACCTAAATATCTACATTAGATCATGTTAATCCTAGAATCTATAAAAGTGTCAATTTAGCCTTCGTACTTTTAATATGGCTTGAAATAGTACATACAGATGGACTATTCTAGCTCATATTAAAAGAATCCGCGAACTAAATTGATGTTGTTATAAATTTGAGGCTAAAATTACCCCCTACAAAAAATCAAGGGACTATTTTGACAGGTTCTCAAAATCAAAGTCAATATCGACAAACTATTAGTGAAGGACAAGCTTCAAGAGGCCCAATACAACGATCTTAAAGAGACATTCTCAACACTCAAAAGATGAAACATGCAGCTTAACCCAATGATGAGACTTCAAAAGCCAAAACTAAATCACAGGCACTTTGAGACATGCCTTCGCAATCATTATAACCAATTTATGCTTCATTTGTTCCAATCTTTCATATTATTTGTTGACCCTCCTTCGGTATGAGAATTCTCGAGTAGTTATGAAAATTATTAAATAGATTCAGGGCTTTGTGGTCATTGTCATAGCAAAACTCTTATATATATATAACCTTGATCAGTACTAGGAGCATGTTCATACAAAAGGCCTAGCAAGTTTTCGATCAGAAAATTTGTTGTTAGTTAAAAGATTGTGATAGTTCGTGTGGTAAGAAGTCCCATTAGTCGGTCGAGAATTTTTTGAAAGAAAGAAAAGTTAAGGGCGTAAGGAAGGAGAGGCTTTCATCATTAGTAACAAGTTTTTCGTTATATTCTAGCTTTCATTTCAATTAACCTCTCTAAGTATTCTTAACTCTTTGGCTTTCCTGTGTTCTTCCATTGGGTTTCAATCATCTATTCCTTCAATTTGGGATGGAAATATTTGGTTGGATATTTTCAAAATGTTCATACTTTGGAAATGTGTTGTAATTTAAGTGCAAGAATTTCAAAAAATGCACGAGTAGTGTGATTGGATGCAAACCAAATGAAATGAATTTTGTTTGCATAAATTTTGATGCGAGGAAAGACGAGTGGTGATGCATAGTTGGTGGTGGCGGATGACGAGCAGAGGTTGGAAGCGAGTAGAGCAGCACCAAGTGGCAACGCCGGCAAAAGCCATATTGGGAAGGTGGCACAATGTACTAGATAAGCACCCGAGTTCACAGATTATGAAATAAATAAATAAAAATTAAGCTGTGATTTGCAAATTCCTCAAATTTTTACTTTCAATTTATTTTTTAGCCCACTCAATGCCTAAATTTCTAAAACAATGCATTATAACACGCTACAACCAAAACATCCCCAACCAAACAACCCCTTGTTAAAAGTTGAGATGAGGTTTTGAAGCTCTTTCAACCCACTTTTACAAGGCCCTTGAAACAATTTTAGATCAATAAGGAAATATAAAATCAAAGGGGAAAATAATCAAGAGGGAAGCTATCAAAATGACTTGAAAAGCCGACAATAAAGAAATAAGCAATCACACAACTCAATTAAAACTATAGAGAAGACTCAACTGCAAGGTTGGTGTTCACCATTCACAAAACATGTAAATAAACTCTCCTGCATGTAAGGTGACATGGTTAAATTATAAATAGATACATAGGGTGCCTTACCATATAAGCTGGAATAGGCTTGATTTTTATCCTGCCTTGTTCACTTTTACGACAACGGTGAGGTGTATCACAAGTTAAGCCACTGAGCCAGATTACTGACTGACAATGCATACAAATTGCCCGGTGCGGTCTAGATCTCCAAGCAGAGCAACCTGTAATAGGGTGATTAACTTATGATGAATTCAGCATTTAAAATTTAGTCAAACAAATACCAAATGCAATTCTTGAAATTGTTTGCTAGAAAAAAGAAATTGACAGAATAAGCTTAAATATACATAGAGAAACAGGAAAGAAAAATAACACATAAAATCATCCTCTTTGGATATATACAATTTAAAAATTCAATTTTTCACTAAATACAAACCAATGCAATTATCAGTAATGGGAGCAAATCAATAAAGAGAGAGAGAAAGAGAGATGATCAGATAACATATGAAAATTCATAAAGAAATTGATAAGTCGGTCAAAGTAGAATTATTTAGGGTTTGAAATGATAAATTTTTCACTTTTGAAATATCAACTTTCTAATTAGGGTTCATAATTTGATTGTGCGAGAAGAAATGCTGTCACTATAAAACATGAAGATGAATGTGCATGTGCTCTCTATTGGAAACTAAAGGTGACCCTAGAAGTTTTCTAATGGAGCTCCATCACAAATATGGCATAGTTATAGGTTTTTCATGCAATGTAATTTTAGGCTCTTAAGGAAAATCAAATAGGAAGGAAGAATAGGAGAACTAGATTGTTAAAGATAATAAATTATAGATTGAATCTTCTTGATCATTAATTGCATCATGTGCCTTCATTCTCCTTGAATTGGAGGTGATGGCACTCCGCACTTTTGCTTGTAAACTTATTTGTTCTTACTTTCTCTTCTTTAGATTTAGTTCTCTGCCCCCACATGTTCAAAGCATGAAAGAGAAAGAGATAAAGGGAAAGAGAAAGAGTCCAGAACAACTTTTGAAAGAAATTATTGTTATTTCAGGGTGCTTTTGGGGCGGCGATGCGGAGCTGCACCGCAATTTTTCCTGTTTGGAAAAACTGTGTTTTCACACTATACCTGACTACTTGGGGTGACTGCCTGAAAGCTATTGTCTAACTTTTTTTCAAAAATAAATAAATAAATAAATAATTTGTAATGGCCACCGCAGCTTTTTGAACAACAGCTTCTTTTTCAATAGCTACATAGTTGCTTGTTCAAACAACTACAGCTAGCCCAAACTGACCCTACATAAAAAAAAATACAAAGAAAGTCTATCTTCATACTCATGAGAGAAGAAACTTAGATTTTAATAAATGAAAACTTCTATCGATGATAGAAAATTTTAGTTACAAAGCATGAAACATGGAAATAGGAATCCTTATCTAAAACAAAGTTATTTTCTAAAGCACGAATTGGATGGAACATACCAATAAATCTCCTTATAAAAACCCCTCTCCAATCAAAATTAGCTGACAAATCTCTGCCTATCATAATAGCATCAATATTATCAGCATAATCACCGGATTTGCTGTGGACAAAAAAATTAAACTTGCCAAATATTATGGAATATTGAGACATCCATAACATATTTTCTTTTGCGGCAGCATTCCACGACCTGAAAAAATAAACGGAACATTAGTATGGTAAAAGAAAAATAACTTCTTCAAAAGAGAAAAGAGAGAAAAAAAATACCGACAAACAGAGCTAGCATTGACCAAAGACCTCACGTCAAGCGATCTGAAAACATGGAGAAGGATATCCTGTGGTAGGTGTATAGAACCTGACAAATGCACTTTATGACCAAATATTACATAAGTAGTATGCAAACTAAATCAGCTTTAGAAATTTTCATAATGACTAATTGATGAGACAAGCATTGCCAAATTTTGTATTTAAGCAAATAAATAACATTTTAGTTTTACAAAGCTAATTAGCATTAGATATTATGAATAAAGGAGAAGACCAGAATAAAGAGACTGAAAATAAACAATTACAAGAGCAAAGTGGAATTTTCAGATGAACAAAATATTTCCAAGTCATTTCCATTTTAGTCTTGATTATTTAAAATTGTTCGATCAATCCATCAACTCATCAAATTTGAACCAGTCCAGTTCAACCATAAACTAGCCATTTCTTTGGACAAAAATTGGCAAAGGAAAGCTTTCCATGGAAGTACTTGGAAAATTTTAGAGCCAATCTCACTAATTAATACAAGTTCAAACAGATGAGACTCCAAAATGCCCTAAGGGAAAACTTTCCTCCACAATTTTTTATCCAAACAACTGAATGAGTTTTGGTAGGACCAACTCAGATTAGATTTGATGAGTTGGAAGACTAATAAATTCAATGCCTGAAAAGGCCAGGCTTCAAAATAGATGCACATCAAAAATTTAAGAATCATTTTGATCTGTTAATCCCTTCATTAGCATATTTAATTTAAATTTTACATCAAACTTTATGGACTTTGAAAACCAATGAAAACATGATAACAAAGCTTAACCAAGTAGCATTTAGCCGTTTAGAGTTTCACAGCCATAAACCCACAAGCGCCATTTAAAAAAAAACACATCTCAGTGAAAATAAAGGTGAAGCTCATCAATCCATAACCATTCTAAATCTTCTGCATTACATTGAAAAGATAGTGCAAAAAAACAATCAGGAAAACAAAAAAAATAAAGGAAAATTTGCATGCATGCCACTTAATTCTTATGTAATTACATATCTAATACCTAAACTTCAATTTTTACGTATATGCTACCTTATTTATGCTTGAAAGATGTATTTCACATTTTAAAAGTTAAAATAGCTATAGTTTTGATATGATATGAAAAATTTGGGCGGTATAAATGTAAAAAAGTTTAGGTGTTAGAAATGTAAATACATAGGAATTGTGTGATTGTATGTAAATGCCCCGAAAATTAAAAACATAGCAAAATCATGTCACAACAACTAAAGTCGTCACTCATAATCATAAAAATAGTTCTTTAAGTGGTATAAGCTCGAGGAGAAAGCCAGTAAAATTCTGGAGAGAAATTTAGGTCAATCAACCTAATAAGCACAATGTATCATGTACACACGAGTGTAAAATGCTCACATAGGTTATTTGATACTAAAATTATCGTCTTAAACAAGACTTTAGCATCAACCACTAATGTATCAGACTTTAACATTGGTTCGCTAAGAGAATTCAGATGTGGTTATCGTTGTTCCTGACAGTGCAAACAGCATTAGCTATACCCATGTGCCAAAATTTTCACTAACAATAAAAAATAGATAATGCCTTGTAGAACTAGCACAATACCAAGTTGAACAAAAACCCTTGCAAAAAAAAAAATAGGGGCCATTTGGGATCACCTTTTACTTTTTGCTTTTCATATTCATTTTTATTTTGTTTATTTAATGTTTTGATTTAAATTAAAATATATTTGATTGAGGATGTTAATTTTAAAAACACTCAAAATATCCCTTAGGTGTTTTATGTGTTTTTAAAAACAAATTGATTAGTTTAAAAAAATAAAAAATAAAAGGAAAATTTACATTCATGCCACTCAATTCCTATGGATTTACATATCTCACACCTAAACATTCATATTTACACACATAGCAGTCAAATCTTTAATATCACAACAATCATAGTACTACCACTTAAAAAACAAAATACACATTTTCATGTGTAGGTTTAAAGCACCAAAATGCCATGTGTGTAAATATGAAAGTTTAAGTGTGAGATATGTAAATACATAAGAATTGTGTGATAGGTATATAAATTTTCCAAAATAAAAATATATAAAAATTATGACAACCAAATATCTTTTTAAAAAAATAAAAAATAAAAAATAAAAATAAAAGTGTTGCCAAATAGGTCCTTAGGACATCAAAAGTGAACACACCATAAAGTAATGTGTTATACCTTCGTGTTCGAGAACTTTGAGACGCCTCCTCTGTGCAACCATAACATGCTTGAACTCGGATGAAGCCAGTGTTTTCTTCTGCTTGGGCAGTGCAGCTTCTGCAGCTTGGACAAGAAGATTTGCAGCTGGAATTCCAATGCTTGGTTCAACACTGTAGAAATATGGATATAAATAAGGAATATTTACATGCATACGACTCAATTCTTATGTATTTACATATCTAACTCCTAAACTTTGCTTTTTTACTTATATGCCACCTTACAATTCACCACCTTACCTATGCATGCAAAGGTGTATTTCACTATTTAAAAATTAAAATAGAGTTTTGATGAAATATGAAAGATTTGGGTTGTATAAATGTAAAAGATAAAGTTTAGGTGTTAGAAATGTAAATATATAAGAATTGGGTGGTACGTATGTAAATGCCCCCATAAATAAATAGAATCACATATGGAGCTAGAAGGATGATGTCTGATCAATAAGGCCAAAGCACTTGTGTATTTAAGCACAACTGTTAACTCGTGCACTGTAAAAGAATACCTTTAGTAGAGAACTTTATTGGAGATTTAGCACATGTATTTTCTCTTATTTACTAATTTAACAAGTACTTCTCATTTGAAAGTTACAGTCATACTCAATCCAGTTGAAATTTTTTTAGTGAATCTTTATATTTACAAGCTTTAAATTTTACAGTCATACTCAATCCAGTTGAAATTTTTTTAGAGAATCTTTATATTTACAAGCATGGCCCGTAATCAGTTGAGCATGTGGATACACTTTTGAAACTATCTTTAAATACCAAAATTTTATAATCCCTTCAAATTTGCAGTCCAAACTCGTTTTAGTATGCTGCTTATCTGTTTCAAGATTTACTTTTTGCAGTCTTTATTTTACTTTATTATGTGTGTCAATTTATTGTGCAGCACTTCACTTACCGCACCTTTTACTTTCTTTCCAGCAGCAATCTACATCCACTTGGGTGTGTTGATCAATATTTTACAAAATTCATTTTTACTGCAACTTATATATTTATTTGACAATGCAATCTAACACATTCTTTGGATGTTTTAATATTTAAATTTTTGCATTGCATATTTATCTATAATAATGCAAATTATTTTAATTACAGAGGTGTTTTCTAAAAAATCCACTCCCCACAACTCCCTGTTTAGGTGTGCACTAGAATCGACATATAACGCTCAAATGCTTTTATTTATAATGATACCACTCAAGCTTTAAAGAGCACAACAAAATTGACAAATTTCCTTCCTAATGATTTGTTAAATTATTATATGATTTGATTGGCACGCATAAATACATGAGGTTGCTAGTTCATTTCAAAAGCTATGCTCTTGGATCTGTCTATAAGAAAAGTTTTGGTAGCATTCACGCAAATATATCTAGTTTACAATGGGCGTACAAAAAAAGTTCCTAGGGAATTTTCAATCTTTATAACTGAATGAAATGAATAAAATTTGTCATAACTAAATGGTTGATCGTCACAATTTTGCTCTTCTTCATTATCTAGTTGTTTGGTACCTCCATCTCTTGCAAAATTTTATTAATTAATTCCAAGTTCATAGGCAGAACTCTGTTCTAAAAGAATATTTTTTGAAGTTAAAGATACATTATGCGTCCAAGTTTTTGACATTTCAAGCATATAAGTTTGATAACACAAGGCCTTCTCAACGATGTGAGGATTTTTATTGAAGGTGGGCTTAGAATCTTTGAACAATAGACTATGGTTAAATTCTTTTTGAAGGAGTTCGTTACGGGGTTTGGAAAAGGAGATGCATAGCAAGAGGAGAAAACCAAATAAAAAGAAAAAAACATTGAATCGAACAGCATGGATCACAAAATACTTGGGTGATGCATTGTCATGGGGTGTAGTGAAAGAGATATAAAACCGAAGGACAAGCGAGGTGATGGGAGAGAAGGAAACAAAATAATAAATAACACGCTCCTTCAGACAGCAAGAAACCTTGCTGCAGAAAACATAAGTGTCAATGTTGGCTGAAAATCTAAAAGTTTAATATTTTCTCTCATGTATAAACTTGGTTTTAAAGAACATAAAAAGTTGTTTAAAATAACATCTTGAAAATCAAATGATCAAAAATAACACTAAAGGACTCAAAAAACAGAAGACAACAGTATAATAAAATCCAAATCCATGTAAGATAAAGATAAACTAATGAATTAAGCATCTGAAGCAGAATATACTCTTTGCTTGATCTAAAATCATTCTCCTTCGAATGGGATGGACAAAATCTTTATGAACTTTTCAAAAGTAACCATCCATCCATCCATCCATCCATCCATCCAATAATTATGAACTTTTCAAAAGTTATTAAAAGCAATTTAACTACAAGGATTGCAAGCAAAAAATCACACGTAAAGACAGATAATTACTCCACAATTATTGATATTATATCTCCTAAGGTAAGACAAGCCTACATGTTCCTAACGTTTTCAAGGCATGCGTCACTAAACAATTTTTCAAATATTTACTACTATAAGTAATACTATTTTACTTCAAATGCCTATATACAAATGCATAACATAAACTTATGTATTTAAATGCTTGCTTTCTAAATTTAAACAAATTTCTTCCGAAGAAAATACAAGGCACCAACATATAATGTTATCATGGATTTGGCATAATGCACACTTCAGTGATAATTGATTAGCATGTATCAAATTCTAAATAAATTTCAACAGTAACGAACAAACATGATCACGAGCTTTCCTTTTAAAAAATACGCTTGAACATTGTTTTACAATTTTAAGGATGGATTCCTTAAAACAATTTCAGATAGTTTGATTATGGTCCAAGATATTTATATTTGATAATGGGATGAGAACCGTATGAAGCTATGCATCAAATAAGTATATGAATATTAATGTTAGCTAACCACGATTACATTAATGCTCATTATGAAAACACAACATAGAAAATTTGAAATAACAAATAATAATAGATCTTATGATTTTAATTTACAGACGGTATGGCCTTAAAGGATTGGAATAAGTTAAAAGATGGTTATTCCAGTTAAGAGAGTAAAATGGATCTAAATATCTTCTTTAATTTTGCAAAATTCACATAGGACTGATGGGAAAACCCTCACTACCGGAATAGATTTCCCAAACTAAATTCACAACTAGGTTTGAATTGAACATCCATAATAGCTCAGAAGAATCTAATCAAGGAATGTAGAAATAATATCAAACAAAAGAAATAGGGGAATACTAACTTGGGAAGAAGGCGAAAAGCGGAGAGAGTGTCGCGGAAAATGAGGGATTGAACATTCTTTGGAAGCTTGGAGTAAGCTCGTCTGAGGATGAGGGCCAGCTCTTGACAAGACGAGGAGTAATCGTAGGGGCGGGAGAGGGCATCGGCTAACCCTAATTGAGCGTACTTTTCAGCTTGCGACTTCCCGCCTTCGTCGAACCCCTCTGCCATGTATTTCGCCATGGAGCCGACAATTTTTTCAACAAACTTTAGTTGAAATTACTGTTACTTTTTCAACTTATAAGAACCTCTAAGCCTGTTTTTTTTTTTTTTTTTTTTTTTTTGGGAAATAATTACATACATCCGAAATATCCATATTTACAAATTAATCAACTAAGTGATTTTTTTGAGCTAAGAACAAACTATAGACTCTGATAAAAATGAAAAAAAATATGAATTATGATTTTATCCAAAATTTTGATTTTTGAGTGAGAACTTGAAAATTAAATGAAAGGGGGTGGTTGAATTATATAAATAGGAAGTTTAGGGTGGTCTTTATGTATTTGCCCTCTTTTTTTTTTTAAATATTTTGTTTATGGTTTTTACATACATGGTGCTCAAGTCTTAGGTATTTACATATCTAACATATCTAACACCTAAACTTCAATTTTTTTACGCATTTTAAAAGCTAAAATTTTGATATTTTTAATGCAATAATTAAATATTTGGGATGTATGAATGTAAAAAATAAAATTGAAGGGTTAGATATATAAATAAATGGCAATCGTGTGGTATGTATGTAAATGTCAATTTAATTTTTTTTAGTTAAAAAAACATGTATTCCATATATTATAAATATTTTTTTATAGGCTGCCAACATATAGACTAATGGGTCGTTTGACGCTGTGTTTTTCGCGCAGCACGATTTTGTTTGAAAAATGCGGCAAGAGGACGTTTTTAAAAAATTTTGACGAAATGTGGGGTGTGGGTTCGGCCCCACAACGCCCGTTTCGTATTAATTACTCATCTATCTTTTACTATCCCACCCCCAACCAC